ATAGCAGCTTTAAATTTGCCCATTGCACTGCTGCCACAAATAAAGACTGAGTTTTGGCTGTATCACCAGAAGTTTTCTGACAGATTTTGTTCTGGTTTATAGCAAGAGACAGAAGGGAATGCAGCCCAGCCTGCTGGAACTGTAGTGTTAAGTGTGAGAGATAGTAAAGACATTCGTCAGTTGAGTGAATGGAAGAGACTTGAATGTGTGCAGAAATAACACTGCCTGAAGAAAGAATTGGCAGTTTTACTTAAGCATTTTCCACCAGGAAGGACATTGTACTACCTGAGACATTTTATTGCCTTTTACTTTTCTCCACTTCTTTGCATCCTTCTCTTTATCCATTTCTTTCAACTAGAGGAGCAATTTCATGAAACCTCACTTCTAAAGCTCCTTGTACAAGGGGGCTGCTTTACAATCTCCACGCCAGGAAAAGGCCCCATATTAACAACAAACAAATGGTGTTTGCGATTTGTGACACAGGCCATTGGATCCAAGCTTGTTCAAACTAAGTGGCTGGTGCCAAGAAGGCAGGAGAGGTGGGTACAGATGATGACATTGCAATCATACGATCACAGAATAATTTAGGTTGGAAGTGATCTCTGGGGTCTATCCAGTACAACACCCCACTCAAAACAGGTCTAATTAGATCAGGGTGCTCAGGGCCATGCCTGGCTGAGTCTTGAATGTCTTCAAGGACAAAGATCATAGAATTATAGAATCAATCATAGAATCATAGAATCATAGAATCATAGAATCATAGAATCATAGGTTGGAAAATACCTCTAAGATCACCAAGTCAAACCATCCACCAACACCACCATGCCTACTAAACCATATCCCGAAGTGCCACATCTACACGTTTTTTGAACACCTCTAACAGTTGTGACCCAGCCACCTCCCTGGGCAGCCTATTCCAATGTCTGACCAGCCTATTCCAGTGTCTGATCCCATAGCCTCTCTCTGCTCCTGTTCCGGTGTTTGTCTACCCAATTAATAAAAAACATTTTTCCTTTATATCCAGTTGGGACTTCCTATGTTCCAGTTTATGCTCATCATCTCTCAACCTATTGCTGTGCACCTGCATGAAGAGTCTGGCTCCACCTTGATGGTATCCTCCAATCAGGTATTCACAGACAGCAATAAGGCCTCTGCAAGTCCCTCACTTTATTTTAAGGCTAAACACACCCAGCTTGCTCAGCCTTTCGTTGTACCTCACTTGCTCCAACCCCCCCGGACATCTTGCTGATTCTTTGCTGGACTTGCTCCACTTGGTGAACATTTTTCTGGAGTTGAGGAGCCCAAAGCTGGACACAAGATTCCTGATTCAGTCCCACAAGCACTGAGCTGAGGGGGAGGATCACTTCCCTCAGCCCACTGGCTGCTGCATTGCTAATACAGCCTGGCATGCCAATTGCTGCCTCAGCTGCCAGAGCGCAACCTTGGCTCATGTTCACCTTGTCCACAGGATCCCTGGGTCCCCCAGCTCTTTTGCAAAGCCGTTTTCACACAGCCATCCTCCAGCCTCTAATGTTGAATAAGATTATTCCACGCCAAAAGCAAGACAGTGCATTTGCTGTTGTTGACCTTCTTGAGATCAATGTCATCCCCCTTCTCCAGCCTGCTGAGGGCCCATTGAACACGCTTGTCCTCCAGCGTATTAATTGTTCCCACCTCCCGCATTCTCACCTGTCAAACTGGGGTGTTGGCAAACTTGCTGAGAGTGCACTTTGTCCCAACATCAGAGTTAATGAAGACATTAAACAGTATTGGCCTGAATAGTGATCCCAGGGTATGCTGCTAGTTACTGACTGACAGCTGGACTGTGCGCCAGAACCACTATCCATACAATGGGTGTACGCACCATTTAAACAGCCTTAAAAGGCAGGTAATCACTGTAAATGGCTTGTGATTCTCCTGGAGAAGAGAGTGAAAATTCAGGCTGGACTTGGTAAAACTAGCAAAAAGGCGAGGGGATGAATGGCTAAATAAATAATCCTGTGCAGAACGGACGCACCAAAGCTGAAGGGCTGGTACTGCAGCAAAACCATATGAGCAGAGCTGAAAAATTTTTGTTCATAGTATTTGGTAGAGTGTGAGATTTCTTTACTCTGGCCCTTAAAGAAATCTCTCTGTTAGTTCTATTGGGTTAGGAGTTCTTTGTTGCATTCAAACACTATTCTCTAGTGCCAACAGGAAAGATAAGCCATAAAGGTAATAATCAAAAAATATGCCTACTGATGGTACTTTAATCTTAGTATATGGTATAATCATAACATATGATATAAATGCGGGCTTTACATAATACTTGCTGAAGAAAATCTAAAATGAAGTGTCTAAAGTTATGCCTATTGATGGTACTTTAATCTTAGTATATGGTATAATCATAACATACGACATAAATGCAGGCTTTACATACTACTTGCTGAAGAAAGTAAAATTAAGTGTCTCAAGTATTCTATTTAGTATTTGCATACTAGTTAACAGTTTAAGATTAGGAAATACTTTTGTCTAAAATATTTCCCTGCACCTAAAGTGTAAAAGGAATATTTTTGATTCCCAGCATTCTTCTGCTGGCTGAAAAACTATCTCTTTAGCCATTGAGAATGGTATTGCATCCACTTAGCAATGGCTCGAGATCACTAACGGTAGTAACCAACCTAACATCCAATGCGTATTCTCTGGATTCAATGTGTAGAATGCTGGGCTGCACAGCTGTCTGCATAAGAGCCCATATTTATTTATCCTATACTTACTGTTACTATCTATAACAAGCTCTCCTTTCCCCAACTATAATGTTAAAACAAAACTTAATGTACAAATAGATAGAATTCATTTGTATTCTGGATATTTTCTCCTAGGATTTCAAAATAATGCATGCCACTGTTTACCCCCACTATTTGCAGGACATACTATGAAGCAAACAAGTCACTTTTCTGATTACAGTCTTAGGCTGCCAAAGACATGTTTATTGTATTTTAGTGGGGTGCTGTCATGATTTGTTGCCCTTCACAACCAGTACAGTGATGTTCTGGCTTCACTCCCAGAAGCCAACAAACGACTTGCAGGATGTGTAAAAAAGGAAATGGGCAATAAGCCACAGCAAATAAGGAAGATAAGGGAATGTGTGGGAAGGTAAGATTCGGTTCCAATCTTTGGAAGAAACACCTCTGGAAATCTTATGTGCTGTTTATGCCGTGTCTCAGCCTCCACCAAGCCCTGATCAATAGTATTTTTTGTGGTTTCCATCTAAGTTATCTGGACCAACTCATAGTAAACTTGCTTCAGCCTATTGTGAAGGTTAATTACCATTGTTGACAAATCTTGTGCATATTTTCCAGCGTTCATAAAAGCAGTTGTTAGACACACAATGCAATACTATTACAATAAGACAAAAAAATTACTACAGCATTTTTCAATATACAAAAAGTGCTAAAAGGGTGCATAGGATAAGTGACAAAAAGTGCCCAGAATACCCACCAGTTTTGTGATTTTCCAGACAGTCTCTCTCTCAGCAAAGTGTGTCTATCTGTCTTCAGTTCTCAAAATAAATGAAATAAATTACCTAAAAGAAGTCCTGTATTTGTGACGGAAACAAGACAGATTGATTTCTCCTGCTTCTCCTGCTTTATCGCTACTCTCATGACAGAGCTGCTAGGCAGCCTTAAATAGGACATGACATGTTGTCAGCTTTCCTCCGCTATCCCTTTCATGTCCTTCAGGGAATCTCAACACAAATGCCTTATTTCAAGGAAATATTTTTTTTCTGCCTCTGGCACTTCTCTTTGCTTTTCTTCTACTCATTGTTATTGTCACTTTTTCTCTTTTCACTGCTCTTTGGCAATGACATCAGTATGTCCCATTACTATTGAGAAGCTCCCCCAAACATCTGAAAAAAGAGAAAAAAAACCCAGAGATCAATCATTCCACTTGACACAATATATTTTGTCACCTGTCACAGCTGAAATTAGGAAAAAGCTGTTCTATAAGACAGAAGAATTTTTACGTGTTCCAGATATTCAGTATCTCTGTCTTGTAAAGGACTATTAGGGACAGGAAAAGACAGCAAAAAGTGACCTGCAAGAGTGCAGCAATAAGCAATACATGACCTCATTGGCAGTCATGGACTTGAAATAGCCAGCGTAACCAGGACCATGACATATGGTGCTCTGTGCTCAATGCTGTCTTCTGTAATAACACTGCCTACACCATGGAAGTTCACCCCAGATAAGTCAGTTTTTGCCAACTATTAACAATGCCAACTCTCTTTTCCTTTGCAAGCAGTAAAATAAATGGCAAAAGAGCAGTTAAAAACATGGCTCCTCTTTCATGGAACACTCGACCATCATAGACCCAAGCCAGAAAATAAAGGCTGTGAAGTATTCATCTTCTCAGACTCCAAATCTGAGAGATGTTTTCTGTCAGACATTTTCATTCAGATTAATTCAGGTCTCATAGAAACCAGAAACACAACTGTAATGCCTACTTATAGAAGATCAAAACCTAAGGGATTCGTAAAGTCACAGATCCTTTTTTTTTTGTATTTGGATTTGTTATTTTGGGAGATTTAAATGTATGTAAATAAAATAGGAAATTAAAAGCCCAAAATCCGTTTCTCACCTTTTGGCTCAGAGGTTATCTTTGATCTAACCCACACAGTAGATTACACTGTTTAGGGGCACATACCATCTTCAGTCATGTACACAGTGGTGAGCAAATTAATTTTTTCCAGTGTCTAAAAGCTTGCTTTCTGATGTTATGTGCCAGTTGATGTAATATTATCATAAGCTCTATAAAAGAAATTTATTTCTCTGTGTGCATGAGTTCAGACAAGATTTTGACTAGGCGTTCTGAACGGCATCCACAACTTTTTGTCTTTCAAAGTACACACAAACAAAAGAAAAAGACCTGAGCTGTCTTCTCTAGAGTATAATTTATCTGGTGGATCTGATGAATTTCTTGCTACTAGTGAAAAGAAAGGAGATGTCCAAACCATTCTCTTAGATTTTTTCATGGCGTTCATCGTTTCTGCTCAGGGCACCATTATCTGTGGTATAATACCAAAGGTCCAGTGAACCATTAAAATTACTTGAGCCTTTCTTTGAGGAAAGCATTAGCATAATACCTGTTGGTAAAATGCACACAATGCATTCTTAAACTTTTTCAAATATCAACACGTAGGTATCAGTTACACTGAAATATGGTTGAGATACAGCACTGCCTCCATGTATTGGTACACATTTCTGTTGCCAAGATGACTTAGCACAGGGTGAAGACAAATTATAGGCAAAAAGGGTATCGATTCACAGATATAAAAAAATCCCAAAGTTTGCACAGACAATATAATCCACTTCATCATAGAGGATTCAGATGTGAATTGATCAGTCCAGGTGATATTTAGGAATACTTCTTTGTTCTTTGTAAAAGCACTTCTAATGCTGTTGTCCATCTTCTCTCCTTACCTAGAAGCTTGCCTGTTGCTCTGGACAATGACCTGGCATCAGTTATTGCTCACATTGCCTCTTGGCTGGACTACAGGAACTGATGTAATTGTACATAAATCCTCCAGCACTTCTAGCACTGAGAATGTATTTCTTAGAGAATATGGTCTAGAGCAATTTTAATGTTCTAACTCTTCCCTGCTTAAAAAAAAAGAAGGGAGGGGAAAGGCCAAATCCATTAAACAAATAAATATGCACATCCAATTCTTGTAATGTGTTCTAGACTGTACCAGATAATAGTTTTATCTCAGAACCATGTTTTCTAAACAAACACTTTCTCTTCCTATCTTGTAACTTTTTCTTGTGTGAACAGAGGACTCTGGAACAACAGAAATTACTAATGTCACTGTCTATTCCCAGAGCAGTTGAATTGCAAGTTTGTTTAAAAATTGAACATCTCTTTTTTAAAATAAAACTTTTGTCTCAATGGACAAGGTCACCTATAAACTCACATGGGTAGAAATAATGAAGTCAGTATGAGAACTCATCAGTAAATTGTGAAAATACAAATATTAAGCTTTACTCTTAATGACAGGCATCAAGACATGAAAATTTGATGTTTAAAATAAAATTTAGTTTGGTTTGAGTTCTGCTGATGCTTTTTAAGCTAAAATTAAGGTAAAGTAGGAAGTAATCTGAGACAGATATAAGAAATGGATAGATTTTAAAAATATACTCATTGGTGTGTAGGTACATATCAATATTATATATAGTGATATGAATAGCACTTTTTTTCTTTTGGTTCTGTACACAAACATGTATGAAATAATAAGGTCGGACCACAGTATACACCTTGCAGTGGTCAAATGTAGACAGCGGAACTGAATTTTGCTGCCAAACAAGAATTTTCTAGTACAATGCTGATCCGTTTGGAAATAATTTAATTGACTACCATTGGACTGGACTTATATCTTAGTAATGCAAAATAAAAATTATATGCCACTGAACAGAATTCACAATATATTTTAAGGTGCCATTTGAAAATACAACTACTCATGTTTGCGTAAAATCACAGTTTATCAGTCTAGGATTATATTGATCCTACTGAAGTTAATGCAAAAAAAAAAAAGTCTATAATTGGTTTGAATGGACTATGCTTTCATTTACAATGACCTAAAATGTAATTAATGCACACTACTTCCACATAAACATTGCCTCAAAATCTCAACTATTATACAGAAGTTGAGAGGTACATCGTCTAAGGTTGGCACACACAGTAACATAAAGTGAAAGTATGTTAAAATGCAGTTTTCTTATGTTACACAAACAACTACTTGGGATTCTCCTCCAGGATATTTAAAATTTTGTATGTAAGTAAACTGCAGTTTGAAATATTTGTACTCAGGAGATATTACAGGTTAGTGGTAATGGCTTAAATGAGAGTTTTGTGGGGAAAATGTTTTTAGCACAATGAATTCCTCTAATCTACAGAGGAAATACAGCTTAGGAATTGCTTGAGTAAATCAGCTAGTATCCTTGAATTTCTAAGTCCTCTTTCCTACAACGCACGTAAATAGGCATTTTTTTCCCCACCTCCCCATAGTTAGTGCATATCAGTTCTGGGCTCAGAACAAAGAAAAGAGGAAAGCAAACAGTTCTTCCTTCATGTTAAAGCAAAACTTGCTCAGTTATAAAGATATTGGAACCAAAAAATATTCATGGTTTTATTTTTTATGTATTTTCTTCAATTTATTAATAATCATTTAGATATATTTATTTATTTATGGCTTTGAGCAAAGACAAAAGAAAAAATCTAACTCATCCCTGATCATACAATTATTGTAAGAATCAGCTCTATAGTCTTCCCAGCAGCAGTAAGTTCCAACCTTTATCATTAACACATTTCATCCTGTACAGATGTGAGATTTCACACTTATGGGCTTACTTATGTACAGAGAAAATCGGTCAGTTCTGAAACTAGTAATGGACCTTTATCTTACAGGAATGTGAGTCATTTGTTTCTTAATCTAAGTATATTTACATTCATACATACATTTATATATATACGTATATAATTTTATACCCTGTACCATATTTTTTTAATTAACATACAAATCCTAGATATTGTCCACTCTATTACAAAGTCATTAAAAATTATTTATGGTTTCACTGAAAGACCATGTGAATTAATATTTCTTCATAGTGCTTAAAATAAAATAAAAATATATATAAAAATATTTTGCTACTAACCCCATTACTCCTATTAAATGTAAACCTTAAACAGTTTGAAAGATCAGTATATGATCTTAATTAACTGACAGAATTTGTTAGTATTAAAATAATATAAGGGCTATTGTACTCATAAATAAATGGTCTTGCAGCGTATCCACAATATTCTAGACACTTTTAAACAATCATATCCCCATATACCACTCTGGGCCACTTAAATTAATGGCAGCAGCATGTTAATGGGTTAATTACATCGATTTTTACCAGTGAGTGGGAGCCAGTGAAAACTGGAGGATTTTTTAACATTTTTATTTGATGTACCACTTTAGTAAAAGGCATAACAGGCAGCATGGGTTCAAGCTCTGTTAGCTTTAGAATATTTACTTGGCTCTCAAGTACATCTGGATTCACTGCATTACATAGCTTGTGATGTTATTTAATTTTTCCATGCATCCTTAAACTCAGCATTAATGGGAAAAGAAGTCCTTTGCATTCACTTCCTGAACATGAGTCAGCTGGATTTTAAGGAACAGAATATATGCTTGTATCATATCCATAATGCTGATTTTTCAATGAGTTATATTATGACACATTTAATTTCAATCTCTATTTAATGTGACAAATCAGGCACAAATGATTACGAAAGAATGCTTTTTTTGTGGATAAGATAATGTGAAGGTTTGAGCAAACAAATCAAAACTTTCACAAAACAGTATGCTTTAACCCTGCTTTCTGTCACCATTTCCTTTCTGTTTTGAAAACATCATAAAAAATAATAAACCTCATACCTATGGGCTATGTTTGACACTACATGCCTTAGGATATACTAACCATTTAATTACAATATACACAGAGCAAATCGTGCATTTCCAGACAGACTTGATGCTATATTATATTTATTTTTGTAAATTAACACCACAGTCAACTACAAACTACAGTGAAGACACAGAAAGCACCTGAAAGCCTAAATCAAGCTGTGGTTTACAAATAATCGTTTAAATGAAAAACCTCACTTCTAGACTTAAATCAGAGATTCAAAGTCAGCATTATAGGAATTTTAAGGTAGACACAATTAAGGAATGGTTATTATTTTCTAAGATACCATAAAGCCTTTTCCTACAATGGCTGACCGAACCTATTTTTATGATTTTTTTTTTTTTCAAAAGCATGCATGGAATATTGTCAGATGCTATTGAGGGCAAGGAGAAGAAAAATGATGGTACTGGTGAAGTACAAGCGGTTTGCAGGATCAAGCGTACAATTTTGCATAAAACATTGCATGTAAAAGTAACATCGTAGGTTTTAAGCCATTGCATTACATTTTAACAGTTGTGTTGCACTTAGCTTTAAAAAATTTTAAAACTCTAAATTTTGAAGTGAAGAGCAGAACCTAAATTCCTAAACAAAGACCTTGCAATGGTACACCACACAGCAGCTATTTTTGTTTGGGTCTAAAAAGTTATTTACAGTGGCAATATTGATAGTCTTTGTTGAAGTCTTTAGCAATGTGAAGGTCAAAGTCCACCCAGTTTTCTGAAACAACAGAAGGGTCGACATGTCTTGAGGTCACTACCTATCCAGAGGAGTGCTTGTGCCAGCCTTTTGACTGCAGGCATTTGCTATTTATTTCTTTTCCAATCTAATTCCAAATGGAAAGTGCTAACATATGAAATGCAATGGGAAATAACAACTGAATTCTTCACAAGAAATTAACAGCGTGTATGCAGTAAATGAAATAACTAAGGTTTCAGAACACCGCTTGGTCAGTGCTATGTGTTCGTTAGATTGATATTTCTCTTTTTACTTCCTAATATACTTGTTTGAGGTTTGCTATTGTGTTGACAATTTCCCCATGAAAATAGCGAACCTCATAAACAGAGAAATCTGTTAGACTGATTTTGAAGTTGACACATTAAAAAGAAGGAATATTACAGTTGAATTTAGACTTAATGGTTGCGAGAAAGGAAGACGTGTTCAAACAAGTTTTTTTAATTCCTTTTTTTTATATATATATATTTCATATATATATATAAAACTCTTACATTCGTTACGTAGAGCAAAGCTGTCTAAAGTGTTTTTCTCATAGTAGACTGCCGGGGCACATTAGGAAACATGCTAAAACAGTTCCA